CACACACACACACACACACACACACACACACACACACACACACACACAACACCCCCTCCCCAAAATAAAGTTGGCATTATGAGACACATCAAACAAATCTGATTATCTATAAACAAGCCGATTTGTGTGCTTTAAAAAAACATGCATGCCTTATATTGTTCTGTATCAGCAGCAGCAGAGACAAAACCCAGCACGTCACACATGAGGAATAAAACGCTGTTACTTACGTGATCTGCGAGGTTAGTCGACGATCCCGAGAGCTCTTCGTGATCTGATTTCGAGCTGCCATCCCGTTCGTCAATAACTAGATCTATTGGCATTTTTCCTTTCAAACAACTGATGTACCGGTGGCAAAAATTGTCGCAGAGCTCGTGCACCTATAGGAAAAAAATATAAAGGAAGAAAACACCTTATTTCTCAGGATGGGGAAACCAGCCAGGTCCAAGAACAACTCCAATTAAAGGGGCATTATCGGCGTCGAGGAAACAATAGTGAAATTGTTGCAGTGCTTATTATTCTCCTGAGACTCCAGCAACAAGTTGAACGACTAAAAAAAATAAAAATAAACAGCATGGCGTAAAGCTGGTGGAATAATGAGCAGATGAAACTAAATCTGCGGATCGATAACAATGTGCAACGTGAGCAAAGACGCTCCAGCATATTTTATCAATAGTCACATAAATAGCTGGCTAAATAAAAAAGCATATTTTATAGAAATTAAACATCTGAAACCTTCTCTCAATGCACGCTGGTTTATTTTTAAATATAAGCACTATATAGTGTTTAATATATAGGCTGCATTAAATGCAGTGTGTGTGCAGGTGGCGTCATGCGTCACAAGAAATGTATAATATTTACCTTTTCTAATTCCAAGAGGTGAAACCGTAATACTTGTATGGCTTGTATCATCTGGGGGGGAATTCAAAATACACATAATTTGCATCACAAAATTCACAGCATTCATTTTTTACACTGCATTATTATGTGATAATCCGCCCGCGTCATGACACTATGGAGTGCACCGCAGCCAAAGCTTTTTAATTCCACAAGAAAGCTGCATTTTACAATCTACTGGTCATCACACACTGGTCAGTCTGGTCAAGTCAGATGGGAAGTCTGAGCATTGACAGCGGCAAACTGTGGTCACACAGCTCAACTTTAAAACTGATCTGACATCCGTGCGGAAGTTTAAATCATATGGTCACATATTTACTGCGTGATGCTGCGGACACTCCAGAGTGTCCCCAAACACAAGGCAGGAGCATAAAAACCGCACCGAGGCGGCAATTATTATATTATTGAGACACATGAGAGGTCAAAGTGTGCGCTTACCAAATTGTCCAACTCTGGATTTGATGAAAATAAAGGTTTTTCTGCTCGGACCTAAAATAATAAACCATATGTCAAAGTTAGTTTGGCATGAACCGTGCGTAATGTATGTTTATTTCCACCCTGAAATGTACCCTGATAACACAGTTCTCATAAATGAAGTGGAAATTCTGCACACTATTTATTAATCATATCAAGATAAAGTTTTATTGCATAAAAAAATAAACATGAGGCAGGGAGAAAAGTATGCACCATGACGCAGCCACAACATCCAAAATACATATATATATGTTATTTTTAATATTTCGACATTGACCTGTTTGGCAAAGACTGCAATGTCCTCATTGAAGGAGTCTGAGGAGCAGACATCGCCGCCTGCTACGCCGGGCTCCCTCGGAGTACACGTCGCCAACTCGCACTTCTCAAAAACCAGTGCGAGCAGTGGGAATAAAGGGTGACTGCAAGAGGGGAAACACAGCCTGAGTACACGCAGCATACCGGCTCCACAAAGCCCACTGCAAAAAATGTCCAATCAACCTACATATGTGTCGTCTCCTTAACCCTAACAATACTTATTTTCTAATAAAGCTTAAAAACATAACACAGTCTGGATCAGATAATTTTCCTTTTATCTCGCTGCGTAATTTTTACAGACCTCCTTAAAAACAAGTCACCGCTTTCAAAAATAAAACAGACAAACAACTAAAACAATAAAACCTGAACACATGTGTCTTTTAAGCAGCTGATTGTAATGCGTAAAAACGCATCAGGAATATTTTCCTCCACGTTTTGGGGAAGGATTTTACCCCCAGTGTGACATTAACCGACTTGTTGAGACTGACATTTTTTGCAGTGCAAACTAGAAACGGCTTGAGAAGTCAACAAAACTCTACAAAAACCAAAACTGACACACACTACAGCAGTCAGGGGGAGTTTGGAGAAATTATAGTTTGCAAAACAACTTCAAGTTAAATAATAATTTCGCAGTTACACTACATAACGCAGGGCTTTACTATCACAGCTACAGCTTTTAAAAGTGGCACAGAGATGAATAAAAATAAATCTAAGCACAGTTCAATCCACCAAACTTTCCACAAAATATTTTTTAAAAGCTATATTATAATTTTAAAATTAAATACCGTTGCTTGAACAAACGTTAACTTCATCAAACTGCCCTAAGCTTCTTTATTTATGCCAGTTAATTTAGTGTCATTAAATAAAATGAATGCAAACACTATTGCGCGTGTGAGAACGTGCATAAAAGAGATGAAGAGGATTTACTCTGCACTACATCCCAGATTATAATGATACACTGTGGATTATGGCACTTTCTGTGTGCGTGTTAGTGAGCGGCGTCTGGAAACATTTTTGTAAGTTTGCAACCATCACTATAAGACGATCTAAAAAGGTTTTATGTCATTAGATAATAACGTGATTAAAGTATAATTGTAAAGACACACGGTGCGTAATTACACGTAGTGTGTGTCTGTGTTATTATATATTTGGAAACACTGGAGAAGTTTGCAGGAAGCAACGACGTTTAAATGAGTCCAGACTATTTTAAAGACAGACTATTAATAAAGGGGTGTAATATTAAAGTTAATAACGTGGAGGAATTGTTGTGATGTTGAAAATAGTTTTTTAATTCTATTCCCGTGCAGTCTGTGTGCTCAGAGCTTGTACACAGAGCTTCCATATTATTTTATAGCTTGTATTTCAAGCTCGAGGCTTACTCTTACTTACTACAATGCGTCTAAAATTACACATCAACAAAACTCGCCCTGACCAACAATAGAGCCCCAAAATTGCGGTCAATCCTACACAAAACACTGCTTGAATTTAGCGGTGGGAGAAGAAACTTTAACTAAAGTAAAAGTTGCCCCCCCCAAAAAAGGCTGAAAACTTTGAAAATCAATAATAACACGCGTGTTTGGTTCATGCAAACCTTACCCATAAATTTGATCTTTATCCCTCTTTAAAACGTCGTTGACAGCAGAGCCCATGCTGGTGGGCATAACGTTTGGATGAGGAGCGTGGGCTCCGTAGTGCTGGCTGGCGTGCAGCGGCGGTCCGTGGTTCAGGTGGTGGACCTGGGGAAGCGGCCGGGGAGCATGCGGGTCCCCGTACATCGACGCCGAGACTCCGTCCATCCCACCGTAGTGGGCCAGCTCATCGTACTGGGAATAAAAAATCAGAGCAGAAGTCAGCGGGGCTGCCGGGTTACTTTTGGAACAAATGTGAAAAGTACTTTAAAAAAAAAAGCATGCCGTGTGGTTTTTGGAATATACGCAAAGTATGAAGCTGTGAAAATGCGCTGCAGCCACGGCAGGAAAAAGTGTCATATGTAATGTGTGATAAACGGTTTGTCAAATTACCAAAAACATTATAACTTAGGTGCTCCCCGAAAAAGTGTTTGGTGGGTGAAAAAGAGCGAATTATTTTGGAGTCTCCTCTGAAACTGCTCCACGGACTGTCGTGGAGGCTGTCGGTGAAAGCACAGGGCTGTCACTTTGCTTGAAGAGTAAGGGCGCTGCAAAAATGTCAAATATAGCCGCTTTGATATGAATACTTTGTGAATTTGCCACCGCCCGACAAGAGGTTATCGATACGAGTGGCTCCCTACAGTGGATTTGAACAGGTAAGTGTAGGAGATTTAAAACCTACCCTTTGCGCCATCAGGCTGCGCTCCAATAAACTCCTGAATCTGTCGTATATTTAATATCCCAGTCCCGTTTAGAAAGTGATTTAGAGGCAAGATCCCTTTTTCAACCAACTTTGCGACTTCTCCTATTCGCCAGTGTGGTTCAGTTGAAGCCGAAGCATCGGGGAGTTTTGCAATTTTTCTTGTTTTCCCTCTTTCCTCGGAAAAAAGAAAAAGAAAAAAATGCGCCAAAGTGAAGGTTACAATCGGCCCATCAACAACCTGCATGTAACTAAACTGTCGTGTCTCATGGCTTTTTGCCACTCCAGCTGTCAATCAAAGCCAGAGGTTGTCAAGGTAATGAATGAATGACGGTTGGTGATGATGTTCAAGAGAAGGACGAATCTTTTTAGTCCGTTTTCATCCCGCAAGTCCGCGTCTCCTTTAATGCCTCCAGATCGCTATCTTGTTTTACTATCACTGTAAAGAAGAAAAAAAGAGGAAAAAAGAAGCAGTAGAAATTAAGAGATTGCGATTCAGATCTTTCCTTTCTTTCCCCCCGTAGGTATTTCGTCTATCTGGCGAGACTGAGATGAGTGAGTGTCAGCGAGTGTTGGCAGGTTGGCTGCTAGCTTGCTTATAGAAACAGAGTCAGTTCGCAGCGCTGAGCGGTGGGCGAATGAAATGACGGATCCCGGAAGTAGCGGTGGCCATAGCCAGTCCTACAGCAGCTCCAGAAAAGAGAGAGGAGAGACCAAATCTTGTGATATGCAGAGTATATGCGAGGCACAGGGACGGCTTCAACTCCACACTGGGGGTAAAAGCCAAACCAACACAGCTCCAACTCCCACCCAGTTTCTTTTTCGCCGTGAAGAGTCCTGAGGAGAAAAGGCAAGAGAAGGCTTGAATGAGGAAGGTTTAGCAGCGCGGACACTCCGGCTGCAGCTCCACAGTCAAATCAAACATAACATGAATCATGCTTTAGAAGAAAAGCAGTTTATTTTAACGCATGCAAACTTTTACGCACGGTGAAATGCAGCATTAATACAAAACACAAAGTGCACATTTGGACTTTTATCTTTTCTTACACTCAGGAAATATTATAAAGCATCTCCACGGCTGTTTAATATATGAGCATGACGCTTACTTGTTATCTGTTTTGTGGTTATAAGCTGCTGTGCCTAATATCTCAGTAATACCTCCTAATCTTACAGCTAATTATCTCCCTGCTCCTTTTTTTTTTAGCAAATTAAACGACACGCACCCCTCTAAGCCCAGAATGAACTTTTCCACGAGGAAAAAAAGCTTTTGTGGAGAAAGTAATTTTGTATGTTTCTTTCGTCCAATCCCGTGTCTTGATAGAAATCCGTGCCTTACCTCAGAGTAGTCAATTATCAAAGCTCCCCGAGATCATCAATCATGTGAGGAGATTGAAGTTTAGAGGAGGAGCAACGGCTCCGGCCATCGATTTGCAAGTGAAGCCCTTTTTGGAGCCTGGGCACTTTTACGCACAAAACAGAAAGCAGGCCATCTATCCCCCTCTTTTTAATATTTAGCTTCCATCAATGCTAATATGGCATCATGGCTGTATTGATAGGCTCTCACATAAAGGCTCCATTTATGGCTCCGTGACATTTTTTTTTAAATGGTGGGAATTAATTATTCACAGGTTAGGATTAAGGTAGACACACGCTCAGGGAGATGGGGCTGCGGCTACTGTTGGAGGGGTCAATAAACTCTCCCAACAAACAACAAAAAAAACAGAGTTGCTTGAGAGTCGATTATAGAAACAGCAGGATTTTTTTTAAAAGGAAAAAAGGGAAAGGATTTAATAAATGAAAGCGTGACAACAGTTATGTTTGTTGGCATAAAGGGGGGTGGGAAGTGTAGGACTGCAGGGTTTGACAAACGGCTGTGTGGACATTTCAACGTGCAATACCCCGGGAAGGAGCTGCAGAGCGGTGCGCAGAGAGAGCCAAGGCATTCACCGTCTCCAAGTCTCCCTTTACACTCTGTAAACACATCCAGCCCGGCTGCTATTGAAGACTGATATTTTCATAAGCTAAATACTATCGTTCACATTGATTTGTGCACTAACGCTTGACTTCTTTTTTTTCATCCTCCTCCTTTTGGACAAGCATGGTAAGTAGCATAAACCTTATATTTACCGCTTTGTTGTGAACGCGCGTCCTTTACGCGGCGCAGTGAAAGTTTTACGCAGGACGGTAAGAAAAAAAAAATATTCTCATATGTTTGTTTAATCTCCGATTAATCGCCTAAAAGCCAAAAACGCTGGAGCGCATTTTTAAAAATATACATACGTGCAGATTTAGCATTTTCAGCCGCATTTTCTCCGCGTTTCTTGTGGAAATATGTGATTTGCCCCCGAGGAGAGTGATGTAAACACCCGAAGAGCGTGTGAAAATAGCAGAGGCTAATTACGCGTGTCCAATGCACGGCTCCACAGACACACATCCTTCCCTATAAAACTTCCAGCAACTACTTCCCTAACGACGTGGACATTTTCTAAACTCCTTCTTTTTGTGAACTATTTATTTGAGTAATTAATGGCAGCCATAAACGCGAGGCATCATCATTAACGACATTTAGAGCTGCGAAATAGGTTAATTTCGCTTAATAACAGTCTTCTGACGCGACATTACACAAGTCGGTGTTTAATTTTCTAATTTTATTCTAATCATCAGTCACTCAATAGGTAATTAAAATTAATTTTCCCCTCATAAACAAGACCTGTGCCAACTTCAACTCCCCTGCTTATAACCTGAGCGCGTTTACAAGCCAGATAATTCCAGGAGGACACCCATCACAGACAATTACACTTTTTTTTTTTTTTAAGGGAGTTTTAGATTTCCTTACAAGTGGCTTTCACAGTTGCGAGTTTTTCAGGTGCGCACACATCTTACGCGTATGAAAAAAAATCAGTGGATGGCATTAACAGGCGGTAAAATTTCATCTGGTGGTGTCAAATTGAGGTCAGTTTAGGGTTAAAGCTCTCGGTGTCCGTGTGGGACATGGCCAGCTGCGTTTGGATTCATTAGAGAGAGAGAGAGAGAGAGGGGGGGGGGGGGGGATCCATTTCAAGGAAAACACTACTGGGACAATCAACCGGGCTAAAGATCCACTGCATGTCACATCCTAAAGGTGCACCAGGAACCCGCCATGCCTGCATGCCACCCGAGCACCACCACTGAACTTCCCACTCCTCTGTTTACTCTTTGCAGGACTTCCAATCTCTCCTCTCTCCCCTCCTTTTCTCTCTTTGCCCTGCAGGGCTCTCGGGTTGTTCACACACACAAGCCTGTTGCTAAATATGGGGAGAGAAAGGCAAAAAAAAAAAAAAGCATTGTTGATTTAATTCCCTCAAAAAGATCACTGATATGAAACGAGCTTCAAATCCTCTTAGTGACCTTAAACACTCCTGGAGAAACAATTGGCGCGCAACGGCAGGAACAAATAAAATCGGCCTAATCTTGTTTGTAACTTTGTTCTTCTTTGGCCCTCTTCAGTATTTGAGATTATGTAAATGAGCCGAGCTAATGTATAGAGGCGCTGAGATAAGACTGGATCATAGACTGACTACTGGAGAGGCTCGGGGAGTGAAAACCTCGCAGCCTGTCCATGTTTTTTGCAGCAGTTTTACAATTACGCAGTTGCCGGCGCGTAATTTAACGTTAAAGTTGATGTTCTGCACTGAATAAAAGTGATGCACATTTGAGCTGTTGCAGCTGTAAATAAGAGGTTGGATTCTTTTAATCTGCTGCACACACTGGCATCTGATTTCCCTCATGCGGACATGTTTTTAAGATGATTTTATTTATGATTTGTTTTTAACAATTTGGCTCCTCTGTTGCAGAAAGCATTACCTCAGCCATCTGAATCTGAACTCTCTCTGACCCCCAGGAGTGAAATGTGACTATAGGGTTTCAGAAAGTGGAGTGAGCAACTCAAATACTTGTAAAAGTTTCGCGACTAACTGTAAATTCTTCAGCTCCAAAGCCTCATTTTCCCCTCCACCGATTCTCAGAGTCTGGTGTCAGAGGGTTAGTAAAGGGAGGAGGGAGAGGAGGCCAACACAGAATGTAACTGTGGCTTTTCCCTTCATGGACTCGCTTATTGGAAATTATGCGGCCCTCTAGCGACACCTGGCGGCTGCAGCGGAAGCCGAGCTGTCGAGAGCTTTGTAACAAATGACAGAAGGCCTGCAAAATTAAAAAAAATAAAAATAAAATCACACCAAATCTGCCCACAAATATCAACACAACTGTGCCTTAAAATTGAAATCAAAAACAATGGAAACAAATGATTAATTCTTGACAACACAGACAAATCTAAAATATGAATATTATCAATAGCAGATTTTCTTTGGAGGTGTCCAAACCCAGCGTCCCATGCATGTTTCTTATAATTCTTAATTTATTAACTGGCAACATTTTGACTATAAATTGGGTTTTAAGTGTTTGCACCCTTCACAGCTGACACAAACTAAAAAAAAATGTGGCCTTTATTATAGTGGTAGTTTGTCTTTAATTACATGTGCAGCAATTATTTTTGAATTTGGGAATTTATGCTTTTTTAAATTAATTTTGAACGCAAGTCGCACTTCTGCATTTAGATATAAATCCGATTTAATTAGACAAACAGGTATTTTAAACGTGGGTTTAATATCTGATTAAAAACACACTGGTGCTGATGATTATTTTAATTTTGAGTTATTTTCTGCTTTAATATGTGTTGCTGCTTGTTAAAATAAAAAACGAAAGCAAACTATCACTCAAGCAAAACCTATAAAAAATAAAATAAAATAAAATAAAAACGATTAAAATGACTCATATTTTGATTTAAAAATCAGCGCGTTTTTATAATAAATATTATTATAATAAAATATTAAATGCGAGGAAAAAATAAAATACTTTTTTATGTCGATAACATTTGTAAAGATTTTTTTCCAAACGAATTTCAAAGCTAATTTCTCCAACATGTCAAAAATAAAAATCCTCCATGCAGCCCTGTGCCATGTGTGCAGCCTCTGCGCACAGCCTCAGCTCTGCCCGGGCTGTGACACAGTTTGAACAGGTCACCGCCGAGATTAGAGCCCGTCGTTAACGCCTGTGCGGATACACCAAATGCTGATTTAATGAGCTTGCATTGGGTGTTTGTCCCAGAATACCTGGTGTGCATGTTAGTAACGCCACACACTATAATCCCTGTGTTTCCCCCCCTTCACACGTGGCTTTAGGGACAGCCTTTACCTCCATGCGCAAAGGCGCTTGTGCAGATTTTAAGTATGAATTTCTTTTTTTTATTCCAGTTAGATTGAACAGGTCGAAGCCTATAAGGCCCGTACCCAGCCACATTACCAGATGTAATTGAGAGAAGTTTAAGTGGAGGCCGGGAAAGCGAGGAGTTAATAGCGGTGACCCTCTTGCTGTGCCTCTGTCGCTCATCATTTATCAGGCTTAAGGGGCTTAAACAGGCAGCACAGACCCACCTTTTTTTATTACATATCAAACCCTCTCTCCCTTATCTACATTATAGGATATGCATGCATCGTTGCCTGTTATGCGGATTTGGAAATAGAAACATGTCCAATAAAGTCGCCCTCCTCCGCTGATCAGAGGAAATATGGCTTTAGGCGCTGCACAGACAACCCCATTGGTTTTTAAGCCTTTATTAAATTGTCTTAATTCCCCCCCCCTCCACTTTGAAATGAAAATTCCACTCTTGTTTGTCCGAGTGTCGAAGCGAAGGGGAAATGTTGCCATGCTTGCAATATGATTAGAAAGTGAATTAAAATTGGCTGCAAACTGTTCAACTTGTGCACATGCGGCGTCCAAAACTCGGGGAGTGTCAGAGACATTCAACAAGGCTGTAAAGGAAAGTGGATTTGCATATCTTATCCCAAGTCACGCCGAAGATAGCAGGGGAAAAGTATCTGCACGAATGGACGCTGCTTTGCTCATATCATTAATTAAAAAGGTGAGAGAAGAAGCGTCTTTGTGGAAAGTTGGATATATTTAGCCTGTCTTCTGTGATCTGCGTCACTCTGCCTTTTATTTATAGCCTTAATTAATTACATGTCCTGTATAGGGAGAGCATTAAAACAGCTGCTTTGTGTTTTTAAGTTATTTCTGTGATTTTTAGAAATGCTGGATTTTTTTTAAATTTAATATGTGAGTGTATTTATTTCTGCTTTAAGAAATGCTGCCACAGTGTTTCGGTTCAACTTCAGGGCCAAGCCTGAGTTGTCTCCTG